GAGCAATAACTACAGTTCCCCCGTCCGGTCGCACAAAAGTGGTTGACAACAGTGTGTCAACAGAGGGTTCTTGTGTTTGAAACACCCGTTGAGATCCAGGGGTCAAGAATTTGCTGTAATGTCCCATAGCGTAGAAAATGGGATTTTTGTAGTACTCCTGACTCGTGGCGTTCACTATAACGGGTGCGTCAACGAAGTTCTTCGCCCAATTGGGTCCGCCCTCCGTATCCAACGCCATATTCCAATCAACCCAACCAGACGTCCAGTGTTTCAAATCCTAAAACATTTTTTGTTTAATTTTATTAATTAATAGAATAAACAATTAATCATAAAAACTAACGACAATTATATCCTTGGCGTATCTCTCAAAGGTCTGCCAACTGCCCAGAAATACGTGCTGTTCTTTACCCGTATAATCCTCACAGGCCTCCGTAGCCAATATGAATTTGCTGGGATCGGTATTATGTACGAAATCCAAGTTTAGGGCATTTTTATCAGTATTTATGTACCAGTGAAACGCCAATCCAGATACATATTTGGCCGCATCTTTATCGGTGTATATAGTGTTAGCCCACGTGTGAACCCAATCCCTCTGATCATCGCATATCATAAGTTGAGTTGTATTGACACCATAACCGGCCGCCTCCAGAGTGGGTCCCAAATCCTTTTTGATGAAATCCCGTTGAAATTCTGGAGTGAAACTCAGACTATTCCAGGGAAATTTTGATGTTAATAATGCTGCATATGGCTCATTATCTATGGTTATGCCCCATATAGGAACTCCCGATGCCTTATATGAGTCTAAAAACCTATAAAATAAATAAATTATATTTTTATGTCTTAGTTTTGTTTAATTATATTTATTCATACTTAACAATGTAGTTTGCGTATGCTTTATAGTACTTGCCACCAGGCTCTCCTATTAAGTATCCACCATGGTTTAGTTCTGAATTATTTTTCATCCAGGCAGGTGGTGACCAAGGACTGCCAAAAACTCTCAAATCGCTGTTAATTTGTTTGGCTGTTTTAATTATTGGAATCTATATATAAATAGTTAACATTATTAATTATAAGGTGTTACAAAAATAATTGATCTCAAACCTTATAATCAAGGTCTTCTTTCGCCAAACTAAAGTGTTTGAAATCAAAGTCATCTTTATTATTGTCGTCATAACTGTAGGCATGGGTCGAGAAGTCTGAGCCTCCGATGGGAATGCGTCCCAAATTGTACTCAATTCCGGATTTAGAGAAATAGTCACTAATTATACGGTTTTGTAGTTTTTCGGGAAGAGTTTTGATGTTAAGTCCGGCGGCGTCTGTGAAGGCGCCCCCAAAACCCACAATCTTCTGATAAACGCCTTTACTTTTGTCAACAGTTATTGTCTGCGATTTGTTTGCATTAAACTCAGAATTGTCTCCGAATTTCAATTCTGTTTTCACGAATCGATCGCCACTTTTACTCGTCTCGAAGACAGTGACCACACCTTTGGGTGTCTTCACGAGTGGATCCAAATCATCACAATGTGTGACATTACAGACACAAACTGTTGACCCATACCCGTAGTCTCTTTGAATACATGGCTGACTAGAATTGACTAAAAATATAATATAAGTTATTACTTAAATAAATATAACCAAAATATTTTAGATTGAAATTCTTACCAAGCACAATAAACGACAATAATATAATAATACACTTCATATTCATTTAATGTAATATTTATGTAGTATATTGTAAATTAAATAAATAATAATAATAAATATTTAATTTATATATTCCACAATATGTGCATAATGTGAATAATTGTGTACTTTATGATCCTGTTCATTTTAACTTTAAAGTAAAAATGTATTTTCAAGGATTTTTTATTAAGTAGACTGTTGATATCTGTTGGAAGTGCCTGAATATATCGTTAACTCAAACATATGAATGATACTTATCTTAAAATAATACTATTTATATATTGATTTTCAATTATTTTTAACAATCTCTCAAAAGCTACAAACTAGAGTACATATGTACACATTTCTGCTGTTATAAATAGATATATTAAATATTTAATTACCATAAACAACCAGGATAAGTTTTGGCGGAATTTTTGGTTTAATAAATTCTTTTAAATTATTAATAAAAATTAAAATAATTTTATAACCATATCTATTCAATGTATAGAATAATGATAATCTGTATAATCGTTGAATTGTTGTATAAGCTAGATGAAGCAATATAATAAGTGATTTGTCTTGATCATTAAATAAAGTATAATGGATTTAAATTATAAAATCAACATTATATAAATTATAGATTAAATGGTAAATGTTATAAATGCTCAAAATACTCGCAATAAAATATCCAAATAATTTTAAGAACCAATTCTGATATAACTGTATTTGATATATTTCATGAAAACATTTTAAATAATGATTTCTTTGATAAAATCAACTTGATAATTGCTTATTATTGTATTATAAATCAAAATCGTTTTTAAAATATCAATTATTAGCGTAAAACTGTAACAAAATGTTGACAAAAACATGGTTAGACTATAATATCTACGTACTATGCAATAAGGAATGGGTACTAGTCTATTTATAATACATGTGCTAATTTTTTATACAAGAAAACCTATTTAATAAATTTAATTATAATGATTTTATAGTTACGAACCAATCAAATAGTTATTTATAGTTGAAATAAAACTCTTTTAAAGTGACCCTTATTAGGCGGCGTGCACAAAGTACATACGCACTGGTAGGGGGGAGGGGGGTCANTATAGTGAACGCCACGAGTCAGGAGTACTACAAAAATCCCATTTTCTACGCTATGGGACATTACAGCAAATTCTTGACCCCTGGATCTCAACGGGTGTTTCAAACACAAGAACCCTCTGTTGACACACTGTTGTCAACCACTTTTGTGCGACCGGACGGGGGAACTGTAGTTATTGCTCTCAATTTGGGTGACGAACCCATAGACATAACTATTGATGACTTGGAATCTAAGCAAAAAGTGACACATTTATTGAAATCACATTCAATGCAAACTTATCTGTATTACACCAAATAATATTTAAAGATCAATAAAATAACCTAATTCAATTAAGTTTTTGTTTTAAATTATTTATGAATTTTATGAAATAATAATAATAATTAGCTACAAATAAAGTGTTTTAATAATATCATGAGAACTGTTATCTATATTAGCACAGTTTTAGATTCATACTTTCTGGCTCTTAAGTGGACATTTATTAATAATTTAAAAGAATTTATTAAACCAAAAATTCCGCCAAAACTTATCCTGATTGTTTATGGTAATTAAATATTTAATATATCTATTTATAACAGCAGAAATGTGTACACATGTACTCTAATTTGTAGCTTTTGAGAGATTGTTAAAAATAATTGAAAATCAATATATAAAAAGTATTATTTTAAGATAAGTATCATTCATATGTTTGAGTTAACGATATATTCAGGTACTTCCAACAGATATCAACAGTCTACTTAATAAAAATCTTTGAAAATACAATTTTACTTTCAAGTTAAAATAATCAGGATCATAAAGTACTCAATTATTCACATTGTGCACATATTGTGGAATATATAAATTAAATATTTATTATAATTATTTATTTAATTTAAAATATGCTATATAAATATTACAGTAAATGAATATGAAGTGTATTATTATATTATTGTCGTTTATCGTGTTTGGTAAGAATTTCAATTTAAAATATTTTGGTTATATTTATTTAAGTAATATATTATATTTTTAGTCAATTCTAGTCAGCCATGTATTCAAAGAGACTACGGGTATGGGTCGACAGTCTGTGTCTGTAATCTAACACATTGTGATGATTTGGATGCACTCAAGATCACCACCAAAGGTGTGGTCACTGTCTTCGAGACGAGTAAAAGTGGCGATCGGTTGGAGAAAACAGAATTGAAATTCGGAGACAATTCTGAGTTTAATGCAAACAAATCGCAGACAATAACTGTTGACAAAAGTAAAGGCGTTTATCAGAAGATTGTGGGTTTTGGGGGCGCCTTCACAGACGCCGCCGGACTTAACATCAAAACTCTTCCCGAAAAACTACAAAACCGTATAATTAGTGACTATTTCTCTAAATCCGGAATTGAGTACAATTTGGGACGCATTCCCATCGGAGGCTCAGACTTCTCGACCCATGCCTACAGTTATGACGACAATAATAAAGATGACTTTGATTTGAAACACTTTAGTTTGGCGAAAGAAGACCTTGATTATAAGGTTTGAGATCAATTATTTTTGTAACGCCTTATAATTAATAATGCAAACTATTTATATATAGATTCCAGTAATTAAAAAAGCCAAACAAATTAACAGCGATTTGAGAGTTTTTGGCAGTCCCTGGTCACCACCTGCCTGGATGAAAAATAATTCAGAACTAAACCATGGTGGATACTTAATAGGAGAGCCTGGTGGCAAGTACTATAAAGCATACGCAAACTACATTGTTAAGTATGAATAAATATAATTAAACAAAACTAAGATATAAAAATATTATTTATTTATTTTATAGGTTTTTAGACTCATATAAAGCATCGGGAGTTCCTATATGGGGCATAACCGTAGACAATGAGCCCAATGCAGCATTATTAGAACCCGACTTTTCCTGGAATAGTCTGAGTTTCACTCCAGAACTTGAACGGGATTTCATCAAAAAGGATTTGGGACCCACTCTGGAGGCGGCCGGTTATGGTGTCAATACAACACAACTTATGATATGCGATGATCAGAGGGAAGGAATAGTCTGAGTTTCACTCCAGAACTTGAACGGGATTTCATCAAAAAGGATTTGGGACCCACTCTGGAGGCGGCCGGTTATGGTGTCAATACAACCCAACTTATGATATGCGATGATCAGAGGGATTGGGTTCACACGTGGGCTAACACTATATACACCGATAAAGATGCGGCAAAATATGTGTCTGGATTGGCGTTTCACTGGTACACAAATATCCTAAACCCTGAAAATGCCCAAAACCTGGATGTCGTACATAATACCGATCCCAGCAAATTCATATTGGCTACGGAGGCCTGTGAAATGTATTTTGGTAAAGAACAGCACGTATATCTGGGCAGTTGGCAGACCTTTGACAGATACGCTAAAGATATAATTATCGTTAGTTTTATGATTCATTGTTTATTCTATTAATTAATAAAATTAAACAAAAAATGTTTTAGGATTTGAATCACTGGACGTCTGGTTGGGTTGATTGGAATATGGCGTTGGATACGGAGGGCGGACCCAATTGGGCGAAGAACTTCGTCGACGCACCCGTTATAGTGAACGCCACGAGTCAGGAGTACTACAAAAATCCCATTTTCTACGCTATGGGACATTACAGCAAATTCTTGACTCCTGGATCTCAACGGGTTTTCCAAACACAAGAACCCTCTGTTGACACACTGTTGTCAACCACTTTTGTGCGACCGGACGGGGGAACTGTAGTTATTGCTCTTAATTTGGGTGACGAACCCATAGACATAACTATTGATGACTTGGAATCTAAGCAAAAAGTGACACA